CCTTCCCAGATCCTCTGATTGGAAAACTCTTCTGCATGTAACAGCAATCCTCAATTCATGTCCATCCAATTCACATCCAGATTCAGAATGTAACCTTATTTGGAAATAGGGTCTTTGCAGATGTAATTAGTTAAGGCCTTGAAATGAGATCATCCCAAATTTAGGGTCAGCTCTCAATAAAATGACAGGTCTCCCTGTTAGAAGAAGAGATACAGAATGAAGGAGGCCATGTAGAGGAAAAGACAGAGACAGGGGCAATGTGTCCAGAGGGTGTGAGGCATCATCCTATACTGACCCCAGTCCTAATCCTAACCCCAGTCTCAACCCTCCAGGACTGAGTGATCACTTCTGAAAGCCCCCAGGTTGTGGTCTATGTTAGTCAGCTTTTCCATTATTGGAACCAAATACCGAGGATGACAGCTCAAAGGACTGACTTGTTTTGGCTCATGGTTTCAAAGGGTTCAGTCCACGGGTAGCTGTTTTCATTGCTGTGGGTCTGTGGTGAGGCAGGAACATCATGTCAGAAAACCATAATGGAAAAAAGCTTCTCACCTTCTGACAGCCAGGAAGCAGAGAAGGTGAAAGAGTCAGAGATGAAGAGGCCAGGGACTAGATAGAGTCCCCAAGGGCACACCCATGACTCACTCCTGTCTCCATCACCTCCCAGTGATGCCATTGAGGTACGATCTTATTTATGGATTAATCTGCCTGATGAAATTGATCCTGTGTCTTCAAAAACCCATTGGCAACCAAGCTTTTGTTACAGCAAGCCTTCTAGGGGGAAATTTTAGATAAGAACCATAATGTGGTCCTCAGGATAGAGGCCCTAGGAATCTCTCACACTTGTCCCCCGCATGTCTGGGCTCCTGCTCCTCAGACTGTGTCCCTTAGGGTACTGCTCTTTTCTTGGGCTACCTCCCACTGAGCCCTACCTTTGAACCAGACACAGCCAGCACACAGTACCCAGCCATGGTGCCTTCTCTCCACCTGGGAAACTTGCCTGGCAGACAGTGGGACATTATCTCCACCTTCACCTATAGCCACCCAGGTAGCCCTGTGTACCCTCTTGTGTGCCCACCTCTTGCTACTGTTCTTCCCCGGGAAAGGCTAGCTCTGGTATAGCCCATGCCCATTTAACTTCTTTCCAGGTAGTCCAAGTGCCAGGCCATGCCACATTCCTGCCCAGGGTCAGGCAGAGACCAGCGGATGCCAGCGTGCCAACCCCTGGGATTGGTGTGAGGCATGTCTCGTAGGCTCCTCAGTGGACCTCAGCTGCCTGAAGGGGGTGCTTCTCTCTGGGTGCCCACTTCCCACAGTGGCTCAGAGGCACCCCTCCCTGCAGGGCCCACTTGGGACCCAGTTGTTGCCCTGCTCTTGGAGGACACTATGGGGCATCCAGAGTCGGTTCTTGGGTCAAGGCAAATTGTTGAGCAAGTGAAGCATGAACATGATTTCTTCCATGTGGCTTGGGGCTGGGTGGAGGCAGGAAGATGTGGCTGGTGAGAGCAGCACCTAACAACCCCTGGAGCACCTGCCAAATCTCCGTAGCACCTGGATGAACCACACACACCAGGAGGGAGCCCCTGCCCTTGAGGTACCTTGAGAGAGGGCAGAAGCCCTGGGGGGTCACTTAGGGACTGTCCTTTATAGAGGCCATACTGTGGAGAGCTAAGCTTCTTTCCAGAACCTGTTGGATCAGAGAGAGGGTGCAGCTCAGATTTTGAAGGTTGGAGTGTGGAGTGTACTCAGAGGCCATGGTAAGGATGCATCTCCTTCACGCCTTGCAGCCCTCTTCTATGTATGGGAGACAGAGGCTAGGTGACAGGGAGGGTTCACCCAGGGCCATGTAAGGTGATGCGAGTGTCGTGACGCAGCCATGTACAGATTATGTGGTTGTCAGAGCCTGGCAGTGGGATGCCCCACACGAGGCCTCAGGCCATGCCCGGAAGCTGCCCAGTGCTTTGTTCTGGCCCTGTCCCCCCAGGGTGGGCTCTTGCAGCTGTGTCTGTCCTGCCTTCCATGGACCCAACCCTCCCACCTAACTCTGAACACCTGGAAAAACTCTGCGAGCCTCACTTTCCTCATTTATGAGGGGGCTGGCAGCTCTCTTGCAGCACTGCTCTGTGAGGGTAGCATTGAGGTGTCACTGCCCTCGGGCCCCATGGCGGGTCTGGGGGTGCACGCCCTGCTCTGTGCATTAGCACACTTGATTCCTTGCAGAAGATCGGCTGCAGGGCAGAGGCCAAGAGCCTCAGTGTGTCCAGGCCTGCAGACTGTTCAGGCAAGGTCATTGACCAGACAGTGAGGGACACAGCTCTAGTCAGGCTGGGTGTCTGTGGGCCTCGGGAGTACTCCTGGAGTCAGTTGCAATCCAAATTGGGCTGACCCGTCCCTCTGGCCTATGCCTGAGGATACTGGTGCCCCACCCTCAGCACCCTCCACTAAGGGGTGCGACCTTCTTCACAGCTGTCCAGCCGGGCACCAGAAAGCGGGGAACCCTGGGATTGTGGGTCCATTAGCACCTGCCAGCACCAGCTGCCAGCCTGTGCCTAATTACTTAATTTGCACTAATTCTCATGCCATTAATACATGAAGCTTAAAATAACATTGCCTAGAAAACAGACTTGTCTAGGACACTATTTTCATCACTTTTTGAGAAAAAAGGGAGAGTCACATCGTCTGTATTTGCAGCTGTTTTCCATTTCTTCACTTTTATCTGCCCGTGTTTGGTGCTAAAACTTGGAGACAGGCTCTCTGGGAGAACTCTGAGGGGCATCTATTGGCCTCCCCAGCCATGGCTTTTCCAGCAAGGGTCCCCAGCAACTGTCCCTGAGAGGTATGAGGATGAGAAGTTCCCACCCTGTGAAATGCCACCACCGGCTGCACACCTCAGCCTCATGGTGGCCTCCTGGGGGACCTTGTGGGGCCAGGAGGGCAACCCCAGAATGATCCGCCTCTTGCCTTCCCTCTCCCAGGCTCACCCACATCTGCTTCCTGAGGTCCTCAAATCTTTGGGGTTCTGCTTTTTGCAGGAACCCAGGCTAAGCCAGCCTCTCTGTCTGCAGTGCACACAGGTGCACATGGGGCGAGGCCATCCCGAATCTTGGTATGCACACTCACATCACACTTACACAAACATACACAGATGATGGGCAGTGTAACCCCAGAGAGAAGCACCGGAAGCTGGAGAGATACCTTCTATGCAGATGAGATTAAGGACGTCAAGCTGAGAGATGTTGCTGGCCAGCCCTAAACACTAGCCAATGTGGTCCTGTAGGAGGCTGGGCAGGAGGCCCTGCAGACAGATGCCTGGGGTCCAGACCCCAGCAGCTGGACAGTGAGTGACACAGGCCCAGGGCCCCAGGCCAGGCCATCAGAGGCCACCTCTGTCTATTAGCTAGCCCAGAAGGCTGAGGCCTGTCTCGTGACAGATTAAGGGACCTACAGCTCTGTCCTCATTGCTTCTTCTTGTGCCATTTAAGAGAAAACTCAACTCAGTCTACCTCCAGTGATAAAGAATGCTTATGCACTCTTGGGCTGGGGAGGTTGGGAGCTACAGCAGACTCTAGGGTGGGGTGGATTCTCTATTGAGCAATGCCTTCAGCACTGGCTTCCAGGGCCTTCTGCTGTGCTTGTTCCAGGCCAGTGTACCCATGTGGAAAAGACACCATTGAAAGCAGCAGATCTCAGGCCTGGGCTCTTGGTAGAAACCCACTGCTTTGCCATCTCATTGGCCGAGCCCAGGTCACATGCCCACATGCCCAAACCTTCTAGTCCAATGGACAGGGCTATAAGATGGACTTGGGCCTTAATTCTAGTCTCCCACCTGCCGCCCCCTCCCCCATTCATAAGGACCAGGGAAGTCAGGCAGCCCACATCTGCCTGACTGCTTCACATGGGGTACTCTTTTTCCTTAGAGGTTTCTGTCCCTGTGAGCATCTGCCCAGAGCCCTGGTGTGGCCCAACTGGAGGGCAAGGACGGAAGAGGTCACAGCACGTTAATGGTGACACTTCTGCACTATGCCAGCATTGTCTCTACATTTTCATTTACCAGGATAGTGGGGGCACAATGGAGGTCTGTGACTCTCAGAGTAGGGGGACCGTGAGAGGCAATATCCCCACTGAGGTGAGCCTGCCCGAGTCTGAGGTGGTAGGGTCTGATATGCTGTCTCCTGGCTATGTGACCTGTTTAGAGGCCAGGTTCCTGCTTGCATTCCCTGGGTGCTTGAAGAGGCACACCCGAGCCTTCATCCTCTTGGCTCTGTGAGCCTGCACGCGTGTGTGTGACATTCCTGTGGGCACATGTGTATGTCTGGTTGGAGCGCCCCTGTCTACACACCTGTGGGCTCAGCTGGTGTGTGTGCCCTTTGTGGACTCGAGCTGCTGTGGACAGAGGGCACCTGTGCAAGACTGGTGAGTGTATACATCCGTGTGCTTGTGTGTGAATGGGGCTGGTGCTCAGGGAGCAGGGTGAAGATTTTCCCGGAGGCCGGAGCTTGATAAACTGCCAAGCTGTCCTCATTGTCATGTCAACCAAATATTTTCAGCCTCCTCGCCCAGGAGCCTCTGGAGCGCGCTGTCTCCTCCCTGCTCGAAAACCCCAGGCCAGACTTCCAAACCACCAGGCAGATTTTGAGGCCCTTTTTTTAGCTACCAAATGAAAAAAAAAAAAGCAAACACAAATCTGCTGATCGTGGCTGCCTCCTTTTCTGGAGAGTTTAATTTCTGAGCTTTGATCTGATACCAGGACCCAGAGGACTTGTTATTTCTAAATAATGAGCTGAATGTTTGTGCTCTGTGCCTGAACTTTTTCTGGTTTGGGGAAAAATATGACTTTCCATAGACATTCTTTGATGCGGCCAGTGGCCTGGGGATGAAAGGCCTTTCAGAGAGCAGTGGTGTTGGGAGGGGCCGCTAGGGCCCTGTGACGCTAGCCCTAGGGACAATGCCTTCGGCAGGGGCCGCCCACTGGCCCCACCCTTGGGAGGAGCAGACCCAGACCCTCTCACGGGGTAATGGTTCTGGGGCCTGAGCCCAGCCCACTTGCAGCACCCCAGACATCCTGACCTCTGCCTCACTGAGTGCGATGGATCAGAGGCCCAAGGAAGGACAACCGTTGTAGCCCACCGTGGTGGAATAGGGCTCTAGGGCTGCTGTCTCGTCTTGGCCAGGCCCTGTGCTGTAATGATGTGGGGTGGAGGTTAACAGGAACAAACAGAACAGGACAGACCACCGCAGCTGTCTGGAAGGTGTGTTGCCACACCTGTGGAGAATTAGAGAAAAGCGCCCCCTGCTGGCTGATAGCGGCTCACAGGTGCGACCAGAACTACGCAGAGGGAGCAAGCAGTTCCCGCCCTGGTCGCCCAACCTTTCCCTTTCCCTGGATAGTGGCTCCTACTTGGGCCCAGTGTGCATGGCTTCGCCCAGCCCATCCATTGTCCTCCAGTGGAGCCCACTCACATCCCTGCCTTTTCCCTAAGGAAGTGATCTTTTGGAATAAGGTGCAGCGCTATCGCCACCCCTCAACCCCGATGGTGACTTCATTCCCTGGTAACGGCTGATCTCACACTCCGGGTAGCATTGCCCTGGGAAGCTGCTGGGCATGCCGAGGCAGTAGAGGTCAGGAGGCAACATTGTCATGATCCGCTTCGATAATTAGCCTGGAAAAAGAAATCACTGACTGCTTCTCAGAGCTTCTGCTCTGAACCTTGTCCCATGCATCTGCTGGCAGACAGTGGCCAGGCCAAAGGGTGGTTCTGCCCCTCCGGGCTTGGCCATACCGGAGCAGTGTCCTGCTGGTCCCATGCTGCCCAGGTCCACATGCAGCTTGGCCCAAGGAAGCCTGGCTCTGAAACCTATACCTGCAGGAGCCGCTCTGCTCCTCCAGTTTCTGCTCCAGGTGTCCCAGGCAGGAAGGATGCCTGGGGACGGAACTTGAGTCACTGGTCCCTGGCCAGTGTGGGATTGGGATATGTTTTGAAAACTTAAATTATTACCAGATAATATAATCACATGGTTCAAAAATCCCAGGCAGATTTAGAAATAGCAAGATGTCCAGTGGAACAAGTAGTGAAATCTAAATATCATCCGAGCCCTTGTGAATGCTGCCTATTGGTAGCAGGGCACTGAATCTGCACTGGATCTGTTAGTGGAGAGTTGGGGGCAGATGTGCATATCTTGGAACTCTGTACTGTCTTCGTGCTCTTATGAAACCTAAGAGTATGCTGAAAGGACAGTTTTGCTAAGAAGGAAGTTGGGGAGGAGCCACACAGGGCTTTCTGGGTTCCTCAGGCTGGCTGGTTTGCTCTTGGCACTGACACAAAGTGACTTTGGCTTCACAGGCGATGGCTGCAGAGACTCAGCTGCATGGTGATTGGAATGACCCTGGGAAGGACTCACCTGCTTGGGCCGAGGTGTAGCGTGGAAGCTGAGAAGGATGGAGAGAATCTAGGTATGCTTTGAGGGTGCAGCACGTACGATTTGGACAGGTTGTGTGAGGGATGGGAGGAAAGGACAGTCCAGGCCAAACCCAGGTTCCTGCTTGGGCAGGAAACATGTGGCTGAAGGGACCGGGTGGCAGTGGCGGGTGTGGGGACATGGACTGTGAAAGCCTCAAGGTGAAGAGGTCAGGTATCTTGAATGCAAATATAGAGTCGAAGCAAGGGCTGTCCTCAAGAGCGGCCAGTAGGCAGCTTTGGTTGTTTCCCAAGGACTCATGGGAAAAAGCAGGCATCGCAGACTTCTGCTTAGATTCTAAGTGGGCTCTGCAGCCTCCCTGTGCCCATTCTGCTCTGTGCACAAGCAAGAAGATGCCTGAGACAGTTCTGCCCCTGGGACCTGTGGCCCAGCCCAGGAGTGTCATCCTGCCCCAGGACAGTGCTGATGCCCCATTATGCCTTTGTGGCTGCTCCCCAGGATGTTTAGGACAGACTCACCCCTGCACTCTCCTGAGATCCCTAGGTCTTTACTACCTCACAAGCTATCTAATGCATTTGGGCAGCTGTTTTCTGCAACCTGTGTGATCAAGACTAATAACAGATCTTCATTCTTTTTAAAAGTTGCATTTCATTTTGTGAGTCTACCTTGATTTATGCAGCAGTCTCCTATAAATGGAATTTTCAGTCATTATAATAATGCTGCAGGAAATGATCTTGTACATAAACCATTTCACTTGTGTGCAATGATACTTGTAGGGATAGTAACACTGCTGGGCCAAAGGGCATATGTATTTACATTTTTATTGATATCACCGATTCCCTGATCATAAAACTTACACCAACTCTCATTGCCTACGTGTGGCATTGCCTGCTTTCCTGCAAGTTTGCCCATGGACAATGCTGTCTGGCATTCTTCTCTTTGCCAATCTGATTGATCAGTGAGGTCTCTGTTAAGGTTTTGTGGTTTTGTCTTAGTTACTTTCTCATTGCTAGGACAAAATACCTGACACCCAAAATTCAAAGGAGGAGATTATTTGGACTCACAGTTTGTAGAGCTTTCGTCCATGGCTGGCTGGTTCCAAGGCAGGACAGCATGGCAGAGGAGAAACAGTCCACGGCAAGGCAGGCAGGAAGTAGAGAGGGATTAAGGCAGGAGGAGGGATGTATATATAACGTATCTTTCTAGGCCCTGCCCACAATGATCCATCTCTTCTCACCATGCTTCACCTTCCAGCATCACATGAGTTATAAACCCATCCCATCAGTAGACTAATCTAGTATCACACACTCACGATCCAGCCATCTCCCAAAAGCTTATAGGAAGTATACCAAGCTTTGCTGGGGGGCATCCCGATATAACCACAACAGCTTGCATTTCTCTCCTTTGGTGTACAGTTGGGCATCTCTTGACTTGTTATTTTCATCCTTTCCCATGTATCCATTAGGCTGCCAGTTTCTGTCCTGTTGCATCCGAGCAGCTCTTTGTGTCTAGGAAACAAGCTCTTTGTTATAGAGCTGCTGCTACTCTTTCTCTGCTGGCCACTGTCTTTCAGTATTGGCTGGTGGAATCTTGGCATTTTCCTTGTCATTATTTTACAGGTTTATTGCTTTACTCATTCCTATGTACTTGTTCTCACTGCTGGTGACTCAAGCTGCCTAATCTTGATGTGTATGGTGGCAGATTGAGGACCACTGCACATCCTGAGGCATGTCAGCCAGCACAGCAGGTGGCACCAAATGCTCACTGAGCGCCGACGCAGTACTTGGGACAGCACCTACATAGCGTGTATACAGCACTGCAAAGTCATCTTTGCTATTAAGTTGTTCAAAATGTACTCAATAAGATACACAAAAACAAACCATCACAGTTTGACCTGGCATGACACCAGGGAGCAGTGAGGGCCAGGTTAATCATGGGAGGGATGAGCTTTGTCCTTGGGCACCCCAGGGTCACCCAGTCCAATGGGGGGACCCTCCTCATGCAATACCAGCAAGGACACGAGCAATTTCCAAAGAAAGAAAATTTAGTGAATGTGTAAGAAAAAAAGGTCCTTCCCTTAGGTTTTAAACACATGGCACTGTTTTATCCAGCAAAATGGCCAAGATTTTCAGTAGTGAGGTGTAGGAGCAATTGCAAGGAGAAGCCCATTGCATACCAGGCTGTGGCATCTGCACACCTGTCTGAGGACAGATGGTAGCACACACATGCAGGACCAGGGCTGGGTGCAGCCCGGCTCAGAGCCCCACGACCTATGCTGCAGTTCTCATGAGTACGAGCGTGGGTTTAACATGGTTGTTGAGCAGAGGATCAGTTAAATAAGTTATGTACACTCACGCAATGGAACTCCAGGCAGCTTTCCAAAAGCGTCGTTTAGAATGTTTGATGACATTTATGACCTCATAAGATAAATATAAAACAACTGAGAAGACAAAACCGGGTTGGAAATGCCACGGATCGAATGCCAGTCACTTGGGCACTGACCCATGGCAGAGTCCTGAGTCTGTGCTCTGGGCCAGGCACTGTGTTCAGCACTGGGTATTTGATGGAGAAGCGAGTGGGCGTGGGAAGCTGTGTTCTCCTGGGAAGCAGATGATGTCCAGTGAGCAATACACACAGAAGAAAGGCGACCTGTTCATGGGGGCCACGGAGCCAGCGTTTTCTCCAGGGAGGGATCTGAGGGTGGCTGAGTCTGAGCCACAGTGAGGAATGGGGGGAGGTGAAGGTTCATGCAGAGGGGACAGGATGTTGAGGCGCTGGGACCAAGGAAATTGCTGTTCCTGTTACCTAGTGGGGGTGGCAGGGCCGCAAGCCTGTGACTCAAACCTTTACCATCTGCCCCTTCCCACACCAGGACTCAGGATGGCTGGGCTGAGTTCTCCCAGTCAAGGGCTGGGTTAGAGCTGCTGTCTCAGGGAGCTGCGGGACAGGGGCAAGGGCCTCCTCCTCTCTCCCCTGGGATCTCAGGACTCTTCCTGTCACCTCTCCACATGGGCTGGTTTGGGCTTCCTAGCAGCACAACAGCCCCAGGATACCCTGAGCTGGGAACCTGTACCACAACCAGGCGGGAGTGGCTCTCCACAATGACTCCTGAGCTCTGTGGCGCTTGGCATGGCCCTGGGCTGGGAACATGGGCCCCACCTCCCCGTAAACGTCCTGTGAGAAAATCCCTCAGCCGAGTGACCCTGCCGGCTGTTGCAGGAAGCATGAACTGTCTCACTGGGTGGCTGTGCAGGCCATGAGAAGGGCAGCATGAAGGACAGGTGTGGGGCCAGCAGGGCCAGGGATGCAGGACCTCGAAGGCCAGGCCAGGCCAGAAGCAGCAGGTGTTCTGCAAGCATCAATGAGGGAGATTCCCATGGGGCCTAAAAGGGGGGCCTCTGGCTGCTGCCTGGGAACATGGGCAGAGGGGAAGCTGGCAGGAACAGGCCATAGGGCCACTGAGCCCAGAGAGGGGAAGGGGCGCTGACCCAGCAGCCTCCCTGACCACACCTGCCACCCCTCCTTGACAGGAACCACAGATTCACTCACATTCCTGGCCAGAACCCGATGGCCTCTCACACAATACACCCACCTGGCCACCGGGAATATTCAGCGAAACAATATCCACACATAATTCAAGCAAAGACAAACACCTTGTGTAAAGCCCGGGGCACACAGATAAATGCGGAATTCCTGAGGCCCTGTGTTGGCCGATTGGCCAGGCCACCCCGGAGTTGCCGTATGTTGGGAAATTACCTAATACCATTACAGCTTGTTACCGATTAATTTTGTTTGATGTGGGAGGCCGCAAGGATTTTTAATAAGGGCTACTTGTAATTGCAGACTGACTGAATCTTCCAGGATCCTGAAATGCATTTCAGGGCATTAAAAAAAAACAAAACAAACAAACCCCAAAACATAGGACACACGGCTGGCCTGCCCAGCACTGCTGATGGAATCAGACACGAGCCCTGTGTCAGGGAAACCTTGGGCTCCTGTAAGCTAATGACATGAAATTAGGGAGCCATTAGGGCGGCTGGTGGGCCCGGCTGTTCGCTTGTAAATCCCCTGCCTGGCCATCTTTTCACCTCCTGCCAAAAGGCAGAGGTTTTATCCTGTACATTCAAACAGGCTCAAGAGAAGAAAATAAACACAGAGAAAACTGTGAGGCCTCTGATGCTCAAGGAGACCCCTGGCCCCGGCTGTCTGGGATAATCTGTATCTTTTGAAAAGACAACAGCTGAGGTGGACACAGGGAGCGGGGCTGGAGTCGATGCACGGTAACCTTAACTTAACATCCAGTTTCGGGGTCATGGAGCAGCTCTCTGCCCTGGAGCAAGCCTTGTTCTGGGACAGGGCCACGTCTGCAGGTCTCTGGGGACCTGAACGTCAGTGCCAGCTAACTCCTGGGCAGGGCAGTGGTGGGTTGGACATATCAGATAGATGGCCACTCAGTGCCTGCAGGATCCAGGAAAGGGGGTACAGGATGGAGGCCAGCTGGAGGGAGCACATCAAGCTCTGGAGGGACCCAAAATAACATGGCTTTAACTACGAGCGGACTGGCTAGTGGATGAGAGAGTCCCCGAGAGTTCCTGAGCTGGTGGGTTTGGGTCTGCTTGATCCAGTGGCCCCACAACACTGTCCTGGCTGTTGTTTCTTTCCATTGCTGCTCTCTGCCTCAGAGGCGGAAGTTCCAAAGTTCCAAAGCCAGATCTGCCACATGGGCACAAATAACAGCTGAAGTTCTAGGCTTCTCAGGAGAGAGCGTCTGTCCTACCACCCCGTGTGCCCATTCTCCAATGTGTGCTCAGGCGGGGAGAGGAGAGTGTGGTAGATACGTGGGCATCATAGCCCCACTTGGATGAGGGCATAGGCAGCTTGACCTGGCACGTGGGCTGCTTTGCTACCCCATGCTCAGGCCGAGAAACTGATGCACAGGGCAGTAGGACTCCAGGTGACATAGCCAGAAAGGGGCAAAGCCAGGATGGCAGTCCCGGTTTGCAGGAACCCCCCTTCCACCGAGGACACGGCACA